GTAAAGGGGAGGGGGGAAGAAATCCAGAAGTCAAGCTCTGGGCGATCTAATGCACAGTAGATGCCAGTTTAAAGCATGTAACAGCACATTTGACCTACTTACAGTAGATCTGCATTAGTTTCCAAGGCAAAAATGGGCCTGTCTTAATTGTCTTTCGGTTCATTTTCTCTTTCTCACATATATATGTGTCCTTGTGTGTATCTGTATACACATAGGAAGAAATCCAGAAGTCAAGCTCTGGGCGATCTAATGCACAGTAGATGCCAGTTTAAAGCATGTAACAGCACATTTGACCTACTTACAGTAGATCTGCATTAGTTTCCAAGGCAAAAATGGGCCTGTCTTAATTGTCTTTCGGTTCATTTTCTCTTTCTCACATATATATGTGTCCTTGTGTGTATCTGTATACACATATCTATAAATATAAAAATTATTAGGTTTTTAGGGCTGGAAGGAACTTTCAAAACTGCCTTTTTCAAATCGGTTAGTTTTGTGTGCAAACAAGCACTAATCCAAGGGCACAGCTATGAGCAGAAGTGAAGGGATACAGTATGGCTTGGCCATTTGCAATACTTCCCTCTTCACAGCCTTGCATTAAAGTTGACAGAAATAGTCACCTAGCATAGAAATCTCTGTAGATATGATCTCTTCTAAGCCACAGCATATGAGAGTATAAAAAGAGATTTAAAATTATTAAATATTTTTAAAACAAATCCTTCTATGACCAGTTCTCTCATTTTTTCCAACTGGCAATCCAAAATGATATTTTAATGAGACAAGTTCCAACAAATTTTAATGGTTTGGGGGCTTTTTTCCCCTGCAAACATAGCTTAAATATGAGTTTAGAACCTAAATTCTAAAACTAATTGAGGTTGCAAATTGGTTTGGAAAGGAACATTTGAGCCCAAAATCATAGTTGTATTTGAAAACTGTATATGCATTTAGCATTGACACTGTTCCAACAAAGCACTTAAGGCCAGACTTTTGAAGATATTTCAGGTCCAAAGAATGAGGATGAGTAGTTAATGGAAATTTCAGGCGAATGCTAGACCTTAAACTCCGCAGCTATGTAGTTCGGAAACAACATGTTTTGCTTAGTCTCAGATGCAAATGTGCCCCATTCTAGAGGTGAAATTCTGTTGACTTTTAGCACAAAACTCCTTTGAGCACAGCTTTGTTTAAATGCCATTCTCTATAGTATTCTGGCTGAGAAACCATACTTCAGCCTACATGCCAGATTTTAGCAGAGAATGAGTAGAAACTTATTCCAGCCTTGCTTCAAATGCCATATTTTAGCCTCGAATGCTCTAAATGGGTCTCATTTCAAAAAGTGTCCTCACCTTCTAGATGTGTCCTACCTTGAAATATGGGGCAGCCTAAGCCAGGGCTGATGCTAAATGCACACATGCCAAGACGTGCTTAAATGGAAGAAGGTTCAGGGTTGCTATGGCAAGAGATTTTCAAAATCAGAACGCAAAAGGGCACTGGAAACCTAACACTCATACAAGCCTTTAGAAATGTTAGTCCCAGAAATTATTTCAATCATTCAAGTATCCCTTAATTTGAAGGAAAATTGGGGGTTTCTTTTTATACTGACTTAAATGACGTTCAAATCCTCATGATCATATTAAGTACTGGAGACAACTTTCTTATTCTAGGTATACAAATAAGCTCTTGAGAAAAGCACAGCCCATCTTTTTAAAAAGCGGTAATGGCATTTCTACCCTGTAAAGCTGCAAGGGACAAAGGTTTGACATTAGCAAAGCAATTACCCTATTTCCTGCAAAATGCAGCATCTTAGTAATCACAACACTAGTTGGGAGAAATTTGCCTGCAATTCACTGAATTTAGAGGGAAGCTAGAGAATCTTTTTAATAAGTTCACACATCAAACTCCTGTTTTTTTTCTGGTGGTGAAAAACAAAAGACGTCCAGTGGGATAAGTGCTGGGACATCCCGAATCTGCATTTAAAGACATGATGAATTCTGCTAATAGGAAATAAATAGTGTGAAACAGTTACTTTAATGAAACCCGAAGCCCCCTTGACTATGTGAGAAAATAGATGTATACTGGACTACAGATAAATGTGGGATTTATTTTTCTCTTTATTCAGCATGAAATAGAGTTCCAACAGTTTTAAAATGCATCTTCCTAGAAAGGATATTTTTTCCAGCACATTTATAAATATAGTGCTTTTAGCTCAAGATAAAATTGTCTCTAAAATGACATATGAAAGTCGCTTCTATTCCAGACACATAACAGAAAAATGCTGCATTTAGTAGCTATTTGGAAGTCAATTGTAAGCAGATGGACAGAGCAGCAGGAGCACAATATCCATTGCTAGACACACCAGTGTTTTCAACATTAGCTTTCAGCAAAAACCATCCACCTCAAAAAAAACCCCCACCAGTATTTTTTCTTCTTTGCTAAACCTCATGAAGTGCATGTCTGCAGCATTACACTTCATTTTTAATGTCCAAATTTTGAGGTCAAAGGAATGAATATTCAGCTCAATTCTTGCTGTACCTTTTGAAAGAAAAGTCTGGCAAACCCAAAAGTTATTGACAAGCAGAAAACCAAAATAAAGCTGACCTATCCCCTTCTTACAACTGTATAATTCTCTTCCCATAAGGTACCTGTGACTTCCCCTAGTGCTACATAAGGAATGGTGGTGGTGGTGGTGTTGTTTTGTCTGTTTCTTTGTTTTATTAGGAGAAAAAAGCATGCCTAAGCTACAGCTTTCAAAGATGTGTCTACCTTGTAATGGAAAGTTTCTACACCAAATAATGTCTCTGTATGCCTTTTGTGGGAAGAGTGTACTCTGAGAGGGATGATAACTATATTTGTGACTGGCTCTTAGGTAAAGGCTTTGGAAATAGCACTGGAAATCATGAGTTCCACTCTGATACAGCACATGACTCAAGCTTGTTGACAGAAAAAGTGCGTTGTGGGTGCCTGCAGCTGCATCAGTGTGGGCAGGCTGGTGCTCAGGTGCTTGTAAGTTCCCCGCCCTCCAAACCAGTCTCCTTGATGAATGCAGGAATATGATTCAAGTCTCCACATTTGATCATTTAGGTTTAAGTAAACAAAGACCAGGAAGGCACTAGAGGACTTTATATGGAAAAAGCGAATGATGCAACAATGCATTCCAGACACAGACTGTATAACATGTCCCTCTGCACTGGATTACACTGCAGGTTATTACCTTGAGAATCATAGAATCAACCAGGTTGGAAGAGACCTCAAGGATCATAGAGTCCAACCCTACTGTGGCTACTAGACCATGGCCCTGGGTGCCACATCCACTCTCATCTTGAAAACCTCCAGGGATGGCAAATCCACCACCTCCCTGGGCAGCCCATTCCAATGCCTGACTACTCTCTCTGTAAAAAATCTCTTTCTAATATCCAACCTAAACCTCCCCTGGCAGAGAGCATGCTAAGAGAGCAGTAAGTTCCTAATCAGGTCAGGAAATCCAAAATTCAGTATACAACATATTTCCAACAATGCTCTTCAAGTCAATGGCATGAGCACATGAATTCCAAAGCTGTTCAGCCCAAATACCCATCTGGTCAACCCTGTGCTAATCATCTGGCTACCTAAATGACATCTTGAGCATGCTTCAGTGAGGAAGTTTCTCATTCACATTCTCTTCCTTCCCTTACTCATCACAACCGCTCCCTTGCATGCTACATGCAGCATAATCAGGGAAAGAAACCGTCCTGCAGAGCCTCTTAACAAAATTCTCAGCATCTCCCATGAAAAATTATTTCCGAACCTAATTAGCTTTAAAACTGGAATTAACAGCTGCCACTGATGTGGTGCTGATTAACAGATGGGCCCACAGCATTGTTACCAAAGGTAATTTTACTTTACACTTGTATATGCAAATATGTAAAAGGATAAATATAAATAAGAATTATGTCATATATATATATTGTGTGATAGATATAAAGCATATAAAACAGGCATAAAAATATAGAAAAACATTAAATTAATAAAATAATACACCAAATAAATCTGTATTAGCAGGCACACAACTTTTTCCCTGTATGCATGATAAAAATCCTGGACAGAGCAGGGGTGAGGAAGTCCTATTTGGAATTCCATGTAGAGGTTTAAGATTCCATTGAAATGGAAAGTAAAGCTTTGAACTGACTCTACTATTGACTGTAGAGAAAACCATTTGACAAAACAATAATTTTATGTGTTTTATCAAAGAAATTTTGGCAGAATCAAAACAATGTATTGAGTTCAACAGCACAGGTGAACAGCAGGTACACAAAGTTATGCCTTATCCCCGACCTAAAAAGCACTGAAGACAGTTACTTTGTTAATTAAACCTACAGATGAAGGATATTTGCCAGAGCCATTTGATATAACACATCAAGAGAAAACAGTATTGCACCTTCACAACCCCGAGGTAGTTAAATTGCTGCTCTTGCCATTCTACACACAGAAAGCAAGACACAGAGGACAAGCAAGATGAAGAGGCAGTGCCAAAGTCTGAATTAGCTCAGAAATGGTTTTGCTTGTACTTTTGTGCTCAGGTGACAACTTTCTTAATCATGGTGAGCTGCAAATTAAATAACTTGTTACATTTGCTGGAGTTTAAGCACAGATAATGGGGGGGGGGGTGTTATACACCCAAACTCTCTGTATTTCTGCATTCATATTTAACTGCTGCATTTTTGCCAGGTTGGTAGGAAAGCTTGCAAACAGTCCCAGAAAACAACTTGTGCTTTCTTACGCTGAACCTTGTGTACCCCATGCACCAGGGTGGCTGTGCAGTGCACTACCATAGAGCTCATCTAGCTGCACGAGGGCTTCATCTCCTGCGAGGCAATTATCCCAGCCCTTCTCCGTCCTGGATGACTATAACTGACTTTTCTAAGTTCCTCCACATTACCACTATTGCAACCGCACATCATGAGTAGGGCAAAACTAACCTGTCTCACAAGTCTAATCCCAGCTCACATTCACTATTACTGTGCTCTACCCCTGCCAGAAATCTGTCTGTGGAGTGACCACGAAAGGCCAGTAAGTGAACATGCTTCTCTTTGCCCTCCTTGCCCCAGTGCAGGGCACTAACTCTAACCTAGAGCCACCCTTTCTGTAAAGGAAAGCAGCTCACTTCTCCCTTTCCAACCAGTCCTTGAGCTTTCTCATACTCTGGCCAGATGGAATTGAGCATCAAAAGCATATATTTGCTAGGCAGAGAGCACGAGTACCCTGCTCATGCAAGTCACTCTACACTCAGACAGCAACAAGGAACCACCAAAACTCACTTTGTAATCTGCACTCCAGCTCCCAACCTTGAAGCTTCTGCCTCAGCATGCTATTACCAGCCCTTGATCCATACAGCTAGTGGGCCACCAAGCTTTAAGCAAAAGAAATCTTTCCAAATCTTCATTACAGTGATAATAAAATGCTGACATGGTCTAAAAGTATTCTTGCCTACATGGCTCTTCTACCAATGTTACTGCCAGAATCATCATCACAATCAGTATTATTATCATCTTTATTAGATGAGATAATCTTAATTATCACTAGTGCTAATTTATTATGTTCCTCATCAGCTCTGTCATCAGTGTCATTCATGTTATCATTGCTCATAAGCATTTAACAAAGAAAAACAACAGCTAATCTGCAACATTTAAATCAGCTCTGGAGGCAAAAGTGGAAAAATACACAAAACTCTCAGACCTCCCACAGCACTGTAACTACCAACATTTTGGAATAAGAATTGTTTTCCAGAAAATGTCCATATCCTTCTCCTACAGAGGCCAGTGGAGAAAGGGCAGGTTTTCACCAGGAAAGGTGGGCAATGATGATCTACATGCTTACCCCTGTGCAACAGACCCTTGTATGGAGAAGGACAAGGCACAATCCTCCCTGATAGGGATTAACAACATTTCAGGTTACAAACAGCAGTGAAGGTCAGGAGAATACCTGCACATTTATCTTCACCCCCCTCCCCAACTGCAGTTTGCTGGCATGATCTTTTCCTCTCAATTATTTCATTACATGCCAGTGAACTGCAACAGCCCAGGCTCAGCATAACTCACAGTCAGGTTCATTTTGTTGTTGTTTGAAAATGGGAAATGCTGGGATACAACCCAAAGACAGACATCAGTGTGGCAATAGCATTTCATGGTCACAGAAACTCTTCCCTTAAGGACAAATCTATTATAAACCCTTGAACGACCCTCAAACACCTGTGGAGGAATTTGTTCAACAAGCCTCAAAGCCTGAACACTGGAATTATCAGACCTATTTCACATATGCCACAGATGAGTGAAAGCAATCCAGGGCATGTCATTGCAAAGCCAGATGCTGGAAACAGAAGTACCTGGACTGTCAGCAGGGTCACCTCTGCAACACTCACATAGCAAGGAGCCATACCAAGAAGCCTGCTAATAGCAGGACTGATCCCACAGACAACACAGGTCTCCTTGAGCAGCAGGCACGTGCTTGGAAAGCTAGATGTCCTGGTTTGTGTCTCTGGCACAGCACTGGGCCACTGCAGCCAAACTCTTCCCTGACCCAATTGCACAGATGTTGGAGAAACAGCAGTAGCACAGGGCTATGCTTTTTTATCTTCATAAGAGCAGATGCAGGAGGGGACTGATACACATGAGGACCATAACTATAAATTCCAGTGCAATGAAGCATTTTGCACTTGTTTCCCTTTGGCAACCTGCAGCATGAGGGAGAAATCAAACGGCAACTGTTGATGCAGTGGTTTTGGCAACTTGAACGCGATTCCTCACCGTTGACATCTGTGTGACAGTCATCCACTCAGGAGGGATGTGGAAGTGAGCACCAGCTGAGTCTCCCAACAGCACGACCCCTTGAGAGCCTGCACCTAATTAATGCATTTTGTTAGTTGCATGAGCAAAAGAGCAAACTGAAACCAAGCATGGAGGGCAATGCTTAAAGAAGCACAACAGTGGCAGCTGATGGAGTCACAGGGTGACTGCTGCACTACTCTTCACATGGCTTAAATATTCAGACCCTGCAATAGGATTTTTACTTCACCTGCAGCAAAAAAAAATCTAACAGGCATGTGCCAATAACTCTAGAGAATTAGCTGGGTACTGCGAATGAAAAACAGGGAAAGGTCTTGCTCATCAGAAAAAAATCCTGGTTGTATTCAAATCATGTTTTATTTCAGCAGAGGTTCTCCTGTGCAGTCAATGTTTATTTTTACCCATCTAACAGGCATGAGAATTAGCTGGGTACTGCGAATGAAAAACAGGGAAAGGTCTTGCTCATCAGAAAAAAATCCTGGTTGTATTCAAATCATGTTTTATTTCAGCAGAGGTTCTCCTGTGCAGTCAATGTTTATTTTTACCATCCATAGAATATGCATTAAAAAGTACTTAAACATTTAGGGAAATTGGATTACTCAGAAAATTGCTCAAAGCTCCTTATAACAGAACTGGGTGGTGGATGTGCTACTCATGAGTGTTTCTGCTAGAACAATCTGTCTGGTTTATAATTAATGTTACTTAGCATTTGTAGATTGCCTTTCATCTAAAAATGTTGAGAAGTCTTGCCAGGCAATGGTTCATCCCCAGGATACTGATTTAAATGTAAGATGAGGTGAGTGGCAACTGTAGTCATGGCTGTTTAGTGAGGTTGTTATTTGTGGGGATGTGTACACACGGGCACCCACCCACATGGCAGCCAGGGAGATTGTCTGATGCCATCACTTCACCTTTTTAAGGCTTTCTCTGGAAAAGGATCAGAATGTATTTATGGCAACGGGTCAAACTGCTCCCCTAAATCCCAAGGGTTATCCCTCTGGGTCAGGCTTCAGTCACCACAGATGCAGAGGAAACATCTCTTTTTGCTGCTGCCACCATTCTATGTATTTCAACTTAATAACTGAGCTGGCTCTTAACAGGAAATTAGCAGCAGCCTATGTTTTTCACATTTCATCTTTGCCCATTCTCAAGATAGAAAAAAATCATTTTGCCTTTCCATTACTTTCTAAAGCCCATTGTCTTTCCCCTGCATTTCCCTTGCATAAATTTTAATAAATATGAAAATATTTATTAAATGAATACAAAAGACTTGTTGTTTCTTGCATTGACTCTAAAAATTTACCTTTGCAGAATTTCTCCTCATAGGGAATTCCATCTTTTGGATCCACACCCTGTTGGAGGAGAGAAGGGGCAGATGTTAGTATCTATCTAGCACCTGAAGAATGACAGTGCAAAACAGAGGCTGAAAATTTAGTTCTTCTTGAATGTTTGCCCTCAGGAAGCATTGCATCATAATAACGATCCTTTCCATTACATAATTTTAATAAGTATATATACATTCAAATTAATTATAATACCTATAATTTAAATAATCATAAACAATAACTGCTTCTTCTATGTTTGCTTAGTTTTTAATAAATAGTTTTATTATTTGGAATATCTAAGGCAGTAAATAAATAGAAGCAATCCAAAACAGTTAATAAACCAAAATAAATGGAAAAGAAACATTTGCAGAGTAATTCAAAAGGAGGAAAAGGAGAAGCAGCAATCAGGAAAGTAAAAATTCATTTACTTACCCATATACCATTGCAGTTAGAGTCACTTTCCACATCCCAATTGTCAGGACTAAAACAGAGTTACAGAAGGGTATAGAGTGTTACAGAAAATAAATCAAAAGAGGCTTTTGAGGGAATCAGATCCTTAGTGCCATTTTTCACTAAGAATAAAAAGTAATTAGAAATTCCTTTCTGAATGGAAGAGTGGGGTTTTTTCTTCCCCTCTGAATCCAGGAGAGGCAATTTTCCCTAGCAAAATGTAACATTAATTTAAAGTTAATACTAAAAGTTGCGGAATGAAACTTATGCTTTTAGTCTGTATATGCACTTAGCTGAAGTGAATGGGGATGATTTTTGGAAAAGGCAGACTCTTTTTCCCTGCTCTTATCCTTGCTTTTAAGTGTTCGCTGAAATCCACCGAGCCGCTCACTCCAAATTCTATGCAGGGTGATGAGGATTTGCTCTGGCCCGTAATACAGTATGATGAGCTCAGTCCACTTTTACAGGAAAACTCCATCTATGCAGTCCAGCACTACACGTGGACTCTGTAAGAGCATTTCTGCTAACTCAGGTGTGCTGCACAGGCTGATGGCCCATGATTCTTTCTACACCCATAAACAGCTTATCTAGTCACAAGCTTTTGTTAATGTCTAGGCTTTAAAACCAGTTCTGGTTAACAACTTCTTAGCAAACCCATGGTAGAGGAGAACTCTGTTTTTGAAAAGGTAAAATAGCAAAAGCAAGGGAGCAAGGCCACACTGCTATGCCTGGCTGCATGTTCTGTTCCAGGTGTGCATGAGAGTCCATGCTCAGGCAGCTGGGAAGTATTCACCCAGAGCATATTCACTTAGAAGGGGATGTATTTAGCTCTATGTTTCCACCAGCATAACATGAGGACTGGATGCCAGAGGTCAGCACTCAGCCATGAGCACCAATTTTGCACTGCCACCCTGCTGCTCCCCAAAGTAGGCACATTACCTATATTACAGATATTATACACATTATAGACCCACATTATCTCAAGTGGGATAAGGCTTGTGAGCCTCAGGGCATGGTTTCCCTCCCCACCTTTGGTCTATCTGACCAATTTTGTCTGCAGATGCTTCAGACAAAGGAAAGAAACCTTTCAGAGTGCCTGACATACACCAAGGGAAGTCCTCCTGACACTTTAAACCTTGTTTTAAAAAACAAATTGATTCAACTCCAAGACAAAATAACAATTCTGGATTTAAACCTTACCAACATGTATACTCATATATAAAAATCATATCACAGTGAAGCCAGTGATCTGCATTCAAACTTGGACTTAGTTTAAGCAGCAGTTAGTAACCAGCAGAGGTGACCAGGGAACTACTAGCCAAACCAGGTTTCATAAACAGTAGCAAGCTACTGTTATTTCTTAGTTAATGCCTTCACCACCCCTGCAAATGTGCATCACCCCTGCAAACATGCCCATCCTTGGTCTCAATCATCCCTTCTTGTCTCCATCACTATGAAATCAAGCAACAAGCACTAATGTGCTCTCTTAGAGTACAGCCAAAGCAAAATGTGGTGCTCATTCTTCAAGAAGCCACAATTATAAGGAAGCCTTTAAAATAATTAAAAGCTTTACCGTCTGCCAGGGTACACGGTGGTGTTTTTGTCATTGCAGTCTCTGCCTCGCCAGTGATAGCCCCTCAATGTCTAAAAGACAGGAGAAGCACACAGATAGGATGGTCATTATTACTCTTGCACTTTTAATTTAAAATATCTAAAATGAGAATCTAACTCGAGGTGTAGGAATAAAACCCAGTAAATGGATTGTATTCTAGAGTACCTTTGCTAAGCTTTAATAAATGACACCTTGCACGCTTTGGTGGAGAAAAAAAAGACAAGCTGGCAATTTATTTCTTTTTTAATATGACTTTACTTCACCTCATATTAATTCAGTAAACAGACCACTCAGCAGTAGAGAAATTTGCTTCTGCAGGGAGCACAGCTTTATGTGTGCATCTCCCCAGGTGGCATAAATGAATGATTGTTTTCTCATCCAGGAAAAAAAGCCCACATTTTATGACAAAAAACCCCTCCATTCACTTTATTCCTAATACCTACTTTCACATGAATGGATAAGGCTTTGCAGAAAGTAGGAGGAATCCTATAGACAGTCACACTATCAAGGGATTACTGTACCAAAGGAAAAACTTTGCTTACAGGGAAGGTACTAAATTTATCTCCATCGAAATCTTCAAAAGGCAGTTTATTTCTTATAACACTGAAAAAAATAAAAACAACAAACATAGTGTTAACATATGGAAGGGAACCTATTCAGAAAGAAAAAGTCACAGCGAAGCGTACAAATTAGATAATAACTGGCATGTCACCCATATTCAGTTTCAGCTCTGTGCTTGAACTTCAGCAAAGTGATCCTGTCCAAAAGAGCAAATTCTGATTTCTTTCAATGTCTGCTGACTGAGTTCTGGAGGTGAGGCTAATAGCCTCCTGTATGGCTGCAATGGCAAACCTTCGGTCTCTAGAACAAACTAGGACTTCAAATCTGCTGTAAAGGTGACTATAATTTTTTAAAAAGAAATACTACACTCATCCTGGCAGATCTTTCAAATCTGCCAGGTATGAAATTTTAATGGAAATCCTACCTGGGAAAGAGGTGCAGAATGCTGATGGAAACTAACTGCCTAATTACACTAACCTTTGAAAATTACATCTTTCTCTTTTCCATTGTGAGTTTTGTTTCAGCAATCCTATAGGTTTCAGCAGTACCTAAAGCATGTGTTAAAATGATGGTGTCAGCTCTGTGCCCCTTCCTCTTTTTAGCTTGGACATGTGCTAACTTTCACATGGCACATTGCACCTCTCTTTTGCTATGGGACCCAGCTTAGCTGACCTACATTGAGCAGACTTTCATATTTAGCCCAGCAGGCAGCACACTTTGAATGATATGCTAGTGAACCTTTCCTTGGAAACTTTTCTTTCCAAATTTTTCCAACCTCTTGAACTCGTAAGAGATGTTGAGCCCAGCTCAGAGGCAAATAGGTGCAATAAGAGTCAATTCCTCAAGCTGCACAAGCACTGGGATATGAAAAAGATATAGAGGAGACTGGTGACATGCACTGGTGGAGGTGGTTGTAATCCTTCTTCTGTCTGTAATCAATAATTTCCACGTGCTGCTTGGGCAGTAAGGTTCAGTTGCAAGGAACTGGCACAGATCTGGACCAGTTAAGAAAGTCCAACAGACCAACATATTTTTTGCAGCTACAGAAAGAGGAAAGCAAAAAACAAAAGAAAGTGAGAGTGCATGAGGGTCAGATCAGAAGAGCTGAACACATTCGATCTAACATGATACACAGTTTGATTCCTGCTTCCACTGACTGAACTCACGGGGCTCTAACTCAGCTTATGTGTCCTGACTTACATTGCAAAGGCACTTACAAGATGTTTCATGTCAATCAACCCACTCCAAACAAGCTCTTGATATTTGCAGTTTCAATTAAATGAGCAGAAATAGGTGAGCAAGTTAGTCTTGGCAATTGAATCAATCAAATATGCAGCTGATAATACTGATTTATTCTTAGCTTTGCTTGACTCTTCCTCCAACTCATTGCAGTACATTGACAAATGTGCTTTAGGAGTAATAGCTCAGCTCATATCCTTGGCCTTTCTCAGAAAATGACTCAAAGCCAGCACTGCCATGAGTTGTTTTTCCTGTCATCCACCTGACTTTTTAAAATGCCTTGGGATTCTTCTACACTTCACAAGTGACATTTAATTCATGTTCCTCATAGAGTTAATGGGTGCTGGTGGTCTTTCTGCACTGAGCCATGGGCACCACAACTGGGTGAACAAATGAAATGGGTAAGTGCCTTGGGCTCAGGAAATCTCAAGAGCAAGATGGCTCCCTCCTGGAGGAGTCAAATCTATGAGTATGTCACATATTTTACCTTTGGGACATGCTAAATTTAAGTAAATATTTTAAGTACAGAAAAAAGCACAGGATCCTTCCAAGGATTCTTACTTACCTGAATGCTATGCAACTTCTCTCTATACTACTTAGACAGTGGTTTTATGAAGGAAACCAACATAAGTAAAGTATGGGAAGCTTTGTTAACCAAGGATGACTTTTGCAGGAAACAAATGTACTATATTCTGATTAAGGACTGAAAATTTATACATACTATTTAATCTTCTCACATAGGTTAGCCAGCAGAGGAAATGCACATACATTTGAGAACCCCATGAAGCTTTTCTGGAGAGGAAAAAAGATAAAAGAAGATGAGTACATTAGTTCAGAGAGGTGGTGTGGCTTGGAATATTCAGTGTCAGTAAATTACAGAGCTATACCATGTATTTTCTGCCTAGAAACATCTTAAAAGATGTTAAGGATGCTACATGCCAGAAGACTTAGACTTGACTCAGCAGTCAAGGATTTAGACTGAACATTTTACTAACCAACTGCTGTTGCTTTCAAAGGCATGTAAAACTAAAAAAGGAAGGCAAAAGCTCCTGTGAAACCATCTCCTCTCATGTACCCAAGGTATTTTTTTTCATTCTTTGTAAAATTACTGTTCTCATGTTTGATAAACATCATGATATCTGGCACAGTGCAAAACAACACACTGTGAGCCATGAGGCTTGTTTCTACACACTCAGGGAGGAGTGGATAAGCCAAAGATCAGCAACAACCTCAAAGAGAGGAGAAATGGGAGGATCCAGAATGTGCATAGAATACCCTGGATATTTTAATGAGATTTAAATTAAAATAAAATGAAACCTGGAAATCTCATAACTAGATTTTATCTTGCCCAGACCTAGAAGCTGTAAAAGAGCTGCTGCAGGAAAAACTCAGCATTAGTAAACCATAGCAATGGTACAATCCATTTGATATTCCAGGTAGCCAGGAAGCTTCAAAAACTGAAAGAGACCTTCGTAATGATTGGGAACACTGCACTGCATTGGCAATCAATCCCACAAACACACTGCTCACATGGCTTCATCATAAGTTCAGGTAGTCTATAAATACTGAGGGTGCTCAAGTGTGGTCTATAAATAAAGAGGACTAGTGAGTGCACAGCCTAATTAACTGTATTCACTAAGGCTACATTTAGCATGTAAATATAGAGCAGATGAGCAGATGGGCAACTCATAACTTTATGCAAAGAAGGGTAATTATTTGTATAGACATAGCACTTAAGAGTTCTGTCCTTGGACCAACTGTCTTGTGTTACACACTTTATAGACAGAAAAAATAGTAGGATCATCCTTGTGCTAACGATATTACAATCCAAATATAACATAAAACAGAAGAGAAAAGTTGGATACAGCTCAGGAGAGGACAAGGAAAGGTTATTGCTCACCATAAGGGGCAGTAGCCCCAGTGTATAAAGTTCTGAGTGACAAAGGAGAGCCTTGAGGCAGCATTGCAGGGTTGTGAGGCAGTGGGCCATGGTGTGCCATGCAGCTCCAGGGAAGGTGTTTGCTTGGACAGGTAACAAGAGGTGAGAGAGAGAAAGGTCTCAGGCTGCCCAGAGCAGGAGATCAGCCACAGAAGTATCTCAGCAAGGATCTCAATGTGGAAAGGAGGGCTAGGGTAGTGAAGAGGAGATGGAACCCCTAGCACAAAGATTGTAGCCAACATTTGCAGTGGTGGCTGAAGTGACCAAGCAGGTACCTTTTTCAAGTACCACTGAAAAGAAGTGGGGTGGAGAGCTGCAGTGGGGGTGGAGCCATAACTGCACTTTCTGAAGGTTGCAAAAGATAAATCACAGGACAAACAAAGGACAAAAGTCAGGGAGACAAGAAACCTGAAAAAAACCCCCCACCAATTAACTCTCTTCAGTTATGTCTGACAAACTCAAATGACAAAGCTTGAGTCACACTGGCTTGGGGGGGGGGAGACAAGAAACCTGAAAAAAACCCCCACCAATTAACTCTCTTCAGTTCTGTCTGACAAACTCAAATGACAAAGTTTGAGTCACACTGGCTTGGAGGGAGAGATGTTGGTGGAGTGAAAGGAGAAATCAGAAGACAACCACAGAAGAACTGGAGAGAAATAGCCAAAAGCAGCCAGGGAGTGGGGCCTTTCCTTGAGCTGAAAGATCAACCTGGTCCCCCTCCTGTGGCTCCAGCTGCCTTGTGCTCTTCCCCATCCCTCTGCACCTCTGTACTTAAGGTTCTGGCTGCCTGGGGGCTATGCCCTGCAGCATGGCAGGAACCAGACTTCCTCTTTGCTCACTGGCTGTGCATATGCATGCGTGGCCAGGTAGGCAGAGAACATGAGAGGTGCACAGGCAGGATGTCAGCCTTTCTCAAAGAGCTTTGCAAACCTATGTACACCTTTCTGGAAACAGGTAAGAAACCACTGCCTCCTCCATGTAGGACTAATCATGCCTACAGAAACACTAGAGGCTCTTAAAGCTTTCCATGAGGCTAAGATTTGCAGTGTCTTCATCTGAGCTGTCAGCTTTTCACTTCAGCCTAAATCACAGTATGCAAAGCCTTTGAAGTTAAAGCACCTGGAACCAAAACCGCACCAGAAAGACAGAGTACAGGGCTTGCAAGAAATAAGTACATAAATAAAACCTCCTTTCATTATGCTCACAGGCTGCATTTAAAGTCTACCCTTTGCTGTAAGTAGAATAGAATCTTTTCTGCCTTTTTCTCAGCTAGTAATTTGAAAATTATTGCTGACTGGGTCTCCATTAGTTTCAAAGGAAGACTATCCTGCAGTCCCAGAGACTGCCTAACTTTGGTGGGAATGTTTGCATGACAGCGACCTGGAAGTGGTGTGGGCAGTGCTGAGGACCAGCTGCAGCAGTATTCCAGAGTGCACCTGCCTCCAGCTCCCCAGCCTATGCATCCCCATAGCAGGTGGGACAGTGAGGTGTGAAAGTAATGCTTTAGCTCTGCTTGGGGTTGTGCAGGAGAGCAGCTCATCTGTTCTTTGAGGGTGTCTTGGGCTACTCTTAAAAGACAGCAAGAAGTACAGGTTTAAAAATAGAGAATCTTTGCATGAGCAGGCACTATGAGGTCCCTTCCTGTGGAAAGAGGCTATGATTGCATTATGTGCTTTCGAGAGAAGATGAACCACTTGCCTCTGCGTAACATAAGTGGGTGGGCAGGAGATTAGCTTATGCCTCTTCTGCCTGGCAATTCCCTTAGGGCTCCCTCCATGGCTTTCCACTTCTTCCACTGCCAGGCTGTGACTTGCAGGGACCACACAGTCATGACAGGATTGTACACGTGGTGCCTGCTCTCATTGAATGCTACAGCCACAACTCTATTCACCATTCTCTCACTGCTATTGCTCAAAGATGCCCCTAATATTTTTTCCACCCATATGAAATGTTAGCACTAAAGGTGTTCACAGTGATTGATAACACTAATATTTTAGTCATTGCCTATTAACATTCCCTAATGACATTTTCATAATTATTTCAATTGGTTTTGCTAAAAAGAATAACAATAAGCCCCTAATGCTTGTTGGTGTTTGGTTTAAGCCAGTTGCTCACAGATGCCTCACTCCTCTTAATGAATGGAGACATTTATTAGAATTTTTGGGATTTGTAACCACTTTCACTGCATCTCTACATCTGGAAAATACCTTTTATTTTTCCCAAACTCACAATGATCCTAATAAATTCCAGGTAAATATGAAATCCTGGGATACAGGCAGAGCTCCCATTCTCATTACCAACAGGTGTAATTACACCTTTTGTGTGCAGTCACACATGGCTGCCAAGCCAAGATGGGGACAGCTAACTTGCAAGAACGTCTTCAGAAGGCTTTCCCCAAACATGCAATGGGGCAAAAGCAACCAAAACAGCAGGCATGGGAAGGATGAGCAGACATAATCTGACATATCAGTCTAGCATGAGTCAGAGCATTAAAGAGGCCAGGTTAATGTTTCTCTCCCTCCACCAGTGTGAATGCAGTGATGTCCTACCACAGACAGGGTATTTCTGGATCCTCACCCACACAGTCAGTCAGGTAACCCTTTCCTGAAGCAGTAAGAGCACCTCAGTTCTCACTGGCATGTGTATGTTGCTATGCAGATGAACTCATCATGATTTGGCAGTGTCCAGACTGGGCAGGTGATTTTCTTACTATCTCATCACACATTTTTTCTCTGGGATACATGGTTTATGCAAGCATGATACACACTGTGGTCTCTCTTAGATATTCTCCTCTGTTGAAGCAGTAACCTCAGTTCTCACTGGCATGTGTATGTTGCTATGCAGATGAACTCATCATGATTTGGCAGTGTCCAGACTGGGCAGGTGATTTTCTTACTATCTCATCACACATTTTTTCTCTGGGATACATGGTTTATGCAAGCATGATACACACTGTGGTCTCTCTTAGATATTCTCCTCTGTGTTTCTTACTACATTGTTTTTCTGAACTCAGTTCTCACTGGCATGTGTATGTTGCTATGCAGATGAACTCATCATGATTTGGCAGTGTCCAGACTGGGCAGGTGATTTTCTTACTATCTCATCACACATTTTTTCTCTGGGATACATGGTTTATGCAAGCATGATACACACTGTGGTCTCTCTTAGATATTCTCCTCTGTGTTTCTTACTACATTGTTTTTCTGAATCTGAAAACAACTTCAGTCTGGGGGAATGGGAAAGATACAGTAATGTGAGATACAGTAATGTCTCTAGAAATGTTGCTGTTTTTAACTTTTCAGGTTTAAAATAAATTTCAGCCAGTGTCGTCACAGGGAGCATCCTAGGAATCACTGTAAGAGAGGCCCATACAAGCACATTATACTTGTTTTAATTTGAGCTGACCTTGCATTGTGCAGCTATGGAGGATCACAGGGAGCATCTTGGGAATCACTGCAAGAGAGGCCCATACAAGAGCATGATACTTGTTTTAATTTGATCTGACCTTGCATTGTGCAGCTATGGAGGTTTAGAAATACACTGATTGGAGAAACCCAACTATGACATTGCTGCTTCCAGCTGGAGCACAGTCTGCTTGTCCTTCCTGCTGGTAAATGGGCAGCTAGGAGCAGGAAGGGACCAAGGGTGTTGTGATGGAGATTGAAAGAGGCTTTGCAGCATTGAGAACCTTTGAGGACATGGAAGACTAGGGGCAAAACTGAAGGAGATCCTATTGTACCCAAAGACTGAAAGGACATGGCATACACAGACCATGAAGGTCAGACATGGTCGGCCAAGCAAGGGATGCAGCCTGATATTAGCAGGGTAGAAGCACATGCAAGGGAGCAAAGGAGCCCTGTGTCTGAGGGGCAGCACCCCTGTGCTTGTCCCCCTACACCTGCACCAGGACTCTGGCTAACAGAGAGGACTCAGAGCATCTCGCTGCAGGTTTTAACATGAGGACTTGCTCCAGGGAATGGGGACTAGAAATGCCATATAATTAGAGTGGAAATCTCAGACCACCAGTAGGACAGCCTTGAGTAGGAAGGAAAATGAATAAAATCCTGCTGGTTGCTGTTCTGTGGGAGCTGAGACCGATCTCTCCAGTGCTTTGTTTATTTCCCTGGCTTGGCAATTTGGCAATTGCCCAAAGACTAATTAGGCACCTTAATTTTCACTTTTGTGAGTAGCATCACAGCAAGGATTCAGGAAGAAGCAATATCAAAAATTTCTTCAAAACCAGCTAAAACATTTGCTCTGCATTATGTGCCTGAAGACAACCTGGAAGCAAACTCTGTGGCTGAGCTGACTCACATAAGTGAACCCAGCAGAATTAAAGCTGCCCTTCTCTTCTCTGCTACCCTTTAGAGATCCTCTACAAATCTGAAAACTGTTGGAGGCAGAAAGATTTCGAATCCCAGTTTTCAATTTTAAGAGGCAAAGGCAGCCTCTTACAAAAAAGTTTAAATATGCAGAATTTGCATTCAGGGCATTGCTTGAGTTTCAGACAGCCCTGAAGTGCAGTTGCTGTGCTCTGAGGCAGTGACTCAGTTCATGAGGCACTCACTTACATAGGGCTACAAAGGCAAAGCAGGGATGATTAGGGACAAGGAAGAAGCACAAAACAAAGAGGAGCAGTAATAAACACTGCAAGAAGTTTGAAGGAAGGAAGGATGCTTCTCTGGATGGAAAAACACACAGCAAGACGGAGTGGGAAATTCCTGCACTGGGCTAGTACAAGCAAGCATCTCAGTATGAAGCTAAACTATGGAGCTCACAGATGAGATGCTCAGTTGCTGCATGGGTTTTACACATAGATATATGTATTGGATGGATATGGATATAGGGATATAGATGGCTATTCTACAAAAAGTCTGCATTTTTCATGAGGGTTTTTTTTCTGCTCTCCTCATACTTTTGTATTTCTTCTCTATTATCTCACACTCCTTCTTCCCAGTGTCACCTAATAGAGCAGATCCTACACCAGGTAGGAGTGAGTCAGCATTCAATCCAATGCTGATCAGGAGGATTCACAGTCAGATAAAATATACGAGGACTCACTACTGATATATTATAAGTGCTATTGATTTCTTACCAGGTCCTTAGAAGTCTTCATAATTCTTTTTGCTTTTCTTATTGCAGTACTCAGTCCCATCTATGAGAGGAAGAACAAAAATAAAAAACAACCAGATCAACCTCACAGCATCCTACCAACTTTTCTCCTTATTTCCTACCTTTTTTTTCTCTATTTTAATATATCAGTCACAGCACTGAAATGATGTATGAGTCCACAAACTCATCAGTTACTTTTTATTGGACCAACAATCAATTATCCAGTCACCCACTATGAAACTCCAGTCACAAGAGTTCATTTATTTTGCTCCAGGGCATCATTTAATTCCTAGGGAAAAGTCCAGATCAGCTGAAGAGCTGAAATTCATATCCTGACTGCACCGTGTGAGCTGCAGAAGACAGACTTATCTAGTGACTCCTCCTGAAGAGCAACTCACCCATTAGATGACTACAAGAGGGTTACACATGTAATATCAGTCTGATTTGTTGTGGAAGGGTACAGAAGAAACATTTGGTCTTGCATGGATAAGGGTTATACTCAGCTGATGTTCATATCAGCAGGGGAACAGCTGACATGCAGGGAATAGAGTTTACAAGGAAAATATCCTGCTTAGGATCTAGGAAGGTCAGCTTTTGATTCTGGAAGTACCTGTCCTGGAGGGCAAGTTCTTGCTGACAGTGCCAAGATAGTTTTTCTGTTGGGTCCATGACAACGTGTGCTGAAGAAGCATTTTGTAATACTTCCACAATGATGATACTTATACCTACATAGAAAGGAAGAGTGGGAGAACCATTGCAAGAAAAGACCTTGGAAAGGCATCATCAGGTTGGCCTTCTTAAGGCCATGGGTTACAAAGAAGTCAGCTACTTGTGATAACCTAATAATTCCTCATATCCCTTTACACACATGCTCCTCAGAGGAGGAGAGGAAATTCTTTGCAAGGGGCACTATCTGTGACATCCAGGGACCAGCACTGGTGGCAGTAGGAGGATGGATGTGCCATGTGTGGTGCAGTAAGGCTGTGGTCAAACATTACGCTGACAGCTGCTTGCCATGGCCGGGAACTGCCAAACACTTCCACGGTCCTGCTCGCAGACTCTGACATTGCAAAAACCTCAAACAATACATTTCTTTCTGCAGCCCACCCAGTCCACAGTCCTGGGTCCTGCCTGGCTAAATGCTGAGGCATGGGGAGTAAGCAGGGGCTGTCTCTGTACCATGCTGCTCAGTGTTTACCTTAGCACTAAGAAATTTGTCTCAGACCACAGCACAGAAGGACTACACTGGTTCTCCTGCTACAAGGACTCTTCCTAGTCTTGTAGGTGAGAAGATGCCCCAGATATGCTCATGCAGTCCAAAATGTTTAACAACTGTTTAACAGCTCTGATGAACAGCACCTTCTAAATTCAGTCACATCTTCCCATAAGAAAGGAAGATGTCACTTCCTCAACTTCAACTTAGGAAAAAAAAAAGAAAAAAAGACAATCACAGGAGTCTGGGAGGGTCAGGCAAACACCAATGTGCTCCCCCCTGCTCCTTCATTTTCAGTTTAGGACAATGTTCTTCTGTCTCAGTGATGACAATTTCCATATGCTGTCCTGCATTTATTAGGCTACCTTTGAAAAGAGTCATATTTGTGAGATATTTGTGATGGCTTTTGTCCTTCCCTTCAGCATTCACGATGAAGAAGGCTGAAAGCACTGCCTGTTTCCTGTTTGCTCTCTTGAAGAAGGAATAATTACGTAAGTTCTGGAAACTTTGAGAATAAGTAAAAAAAAAAATCCAAACTAAAACCTAATTAAAAAAAGGAGAAATAAATCAATTTCTTTTGAAATTGTTTCAAATGGAAAAAAGAATCCAGAGTATCACACACATGTCAGCATCTGGTGTGTGATCAAAATTGTTGGCGAGGACAAACTGTTCTATCCAACAATGACCTGCCATCAGTCTCTCCTGCAGCGCAGCCTAACACCAACTGGGTCTGAGGGCTCTGAGGTAAAGCTCAGCATAGGTTTATATTCATTTGGATAGAGTCACAGGAACTCAACATGCTTCACCAAGTGGTGGTATTAAAGCATTTTGAAAAAAAAAGGAACTATCCCTGAAGTGATGGCACCTTACTGAACAGCGGGCATGCCAGCTTGGAATATTAAAGCAGAATATATTTGCATCTAAAGTAATCATTACCAACATTTTTTTTATGGGGATAAAACTTAGCATGTCATTATAATTGATTTAGGCAGTGATCAAAGCAAATTAATTAACCATGATATTCAAGGGTCAAAAATTTATAGTGAACAGCACAAAGGGATATGGAAGAATAAGTATAAGCAGAAAGGAACACAGACTTCTGAGTTACTGCGGTTTAATATATGTGTCACATTAATATATGTAGTTAATATATGTTTAATTCATGATGTCTATAGTCTTATAAAAATCAGGGTATGTCACAAATAGATGAAAGATTCTAGGCATGAGCCAAGACACTGTTTTCTACTCTTTTCCCCCTGGGCAACTGCTGTCCCCAAAACCAATCATGAATCTTACATTTGCCATAGTTATATTGTACAGTACCAGCTGCTGTTATTTCTGCAATAAAATTAGTCAAGAGATGGATGAGGAAAATGTCTTAAATTGAGTATAATAGATGGAAAATTTCCAGAGAGGTAGAATTTATCAATCCCTTTCTGCTGGGCAGGGTAGTAGAGACTGCTTGCTCACAGCAGCAGCTTGTGAGAAATGCATGCTTCAGACAGCTACAGCAATACTGCACTCAGAAAGCTGAAAACAAGGGAGGAAAGGCCAAATTGACCCTGCAAGTAGAAAATCCTCTCTCTGAAGTGTTGAAGACAAGACCTTCTCCCACTGCATGCATCACTTCAGCCAAGACTCCAGGGTGAGCTGTGGAAGGCTGTCAGCTGAAACACCCATCCAGCAGAAAACACTCCTGGTTTCATGGGTCACCTGTAATCCCTGGCTGACACCAGCATGTCAAGCCTGCCACAGAAGGCCATACAGCCCATACAATCCCTCTTGCTGTGTCTCAGCTAGCAAGACACCTCCTCTCTCCCATAGCATGAGAACACCACCTAGGAGGGAGCTCCCCAGACTCCAGCAGCTGATGGATGAGGTTGCAGCCACAGCTTGGAGAGTGTGCTGCTGTCCTGGGGAGCAGCCAGCCCCATCCACCCAAATCAGCACAGCCCTGCTGCCCTGTGTACACGAGATAACCAGAACATGGATGGGGCTGAGGGCGGGTGGGTCACTGGGATTTAATTCACTGTCATCTTTCAATGCTCTCCACAGAGACCATGCATTCCCAGTAATGATATTTTTTTTCAAACTGCTCTGTTTCTCATAAACAAATGCATGAACCGACTCTAATTCTCTCTCATTTATCACCCTTGTTAGCCAGCTCTTTCCCAGGAGACTGAATATTTACAAAACACTCTAAGTTTCTCTTCTAACTCATTTTTGTCATCCTTTTACCGAGAGTACACATACAAAGATAACAAAATTCTGCAAAGCTTGTTAAACAGTACTGACAGAAGTGAAATTTGTTTGTGAGCAATGCTTCCTAGTCCTCATGCTTTTGTCTGCCAGACTTGTTTTCAGGGGTCCTGCCCCATGCAGCTTCTGCAGCAGTATGACACAGCTGCACAGAGCACCCTGCAACACCCATGCCACCCTATTTCCTTTGAATTTATTTGGTGGAAGGTTGTGGTTGTGTAATTTGGCTTTTTGGGGTTGTTTGTTTTTTTTGACTGGGGTGGTTTGGGTTTTTTATTATTCATTTTATTTTCTGCCAGTGAAGAGGAGCAGAGAAAATGGTGAGAAACAAGTGAAAGAGGAGGAACTAGTGCTCAAATTGTGCCTTCTGCTGTTGCTCATCTATAGGCAGTTTCTTCAGGGCTGAGTTCTGACTGAGGCAGAAACAACTCGCATTTCAGTAGATTTTACCTATTTCCACAAAGAAAGGTTAAAATGAGGGCATCTTGCTCCCCAGGACCTAGCCTGCCTCCCAGATGCTTGTTTTACTGCATGTGGTCCCAAAAGGAGGAAACAGCTCCCAGTCAGAAGGTCTACCTTTGACTGGCAGTCTGCTCTTACCAGGAATGCAGAAGTACTCCTGCCCTGGAATTTGGTCCTGCTTCACCCCCTGGGAAGCAGCTCACATTTTTACTGAGAGGAATGAGAGAAAACAGCAGGTGTAATTTTTATTTTATTAAACCCCAAAGGATTTTTTCCACCCAGAATTAGTTGGCCCCTACTTTATCAAAGAGCATGCTGGCCACAGTAATGTCCATGAGGGATGTGGCTTTTGCTTTTTACAAAATCAATGAAAGACCCGATAGAGGGGACATGAACCAGCAGGAGTGCTTGTGGCGATGAAGTTTACTTTGGTAGGATAAAATAATAATAGCATAAATATGTGTATTTTTGCTGAAGTAAGATGACTTCCATCAAAATCTTACTGCTGGAAACTATGCTAAAATATGCAGCTGCAAGGTCTCTAATAATCCAGAGCAGAGGAGTGATGGGGAGCAGAAGAGGTACCCTGAAATGCAGAAAGAAGAGTACAAGGTCCTTCCCACACAGGCTGATTTAGAGACTGCCAGAGCAGGAGTCCAGTGCTGAAGTTGAGCCAGGATTCTGGCCCCAGCAAAATCAATTAAAGTATTGCCATTTAGCTGAACAGGCCAGCTGGCTTAACACAATCTAGAGACAGATGAGAATAATCTCCTGCAAACCCATTTGCTCCCAGGGCCAGAAGGGGAGCTTGGTAGGCAGTGCCTAAAACCCCTAACCCTCTTTCAGCCCTTTTTGCTTACTAGAGGAACACACCTGTATTACATGACCTAGTGCAGAAAGTTCTCCACCAGATATTGATAAATAGCTGATAAATATTTTCAACTAAAACATTATCTTGTCATCCTAAAGCAGCTAGCTTGGATGTCTGTACCACTGTCAGCACTTTGGAATGCAGCCCATATTAGAATATCTGCTGTTGATACCACTAATCCACAAGGCATATTACAGCAGCTTTAGATACTGCCCAGTGTCCAGCTACGGTTGGTAAGCCTACACATCTGATGCACCCTATTAGTTTTCCTCCTTACTTGAAGGATTCC